TTCTTCACCTGTTCATCCCACCCCCCACCCGGGGCCGGGGCCAGGGCCAGGGCCGGGGCCAGGCCAGGCGGGCTCGGCAAACGCCACTGGGTGAATGCAGAGCCCGGCAGTGCAGAGTCGACCGCTGGACTCAGCCCCAGGGGGTGTGAATCCAGCTCTGTACCTACGGGCCTCAGGCATGTCTCAGCCGTGTTGCATCTCAGTGTCCACTACAGGGATAACAACACAGGGTTGGCGGAAGCACAAGGGACAGTGTGTGTGGCATTCAGTTCAGGATCTGTCACGTGTTAAGTGCTCAGTGCACGGTAGACAGTGATGGTTATGATTTATTAAGCTTCCTGAAGGCAATGACTGCGTTCTTCTCTCTACCCAAGTGCCCCACGCAGTGCCCAGGACTTGGCAGGTCTGGGACTGCTTGTGCTAACATTCTCCAGTCACCATGCTGGGGGCTGCTGGCAAGGCCCCAATCTCCCTGCTCCTCTGAAGAGACCTCTCTAGGGTCAGGGGTTCCAGCTCTGGCCCTCCTGGACCCAGCTGCCCGCTCCTGGGGCTGCACCACAGCATTCCTGGTCCACAGAATTTGCCAGCACTTCATCACAATTCAAGAGGGCATCCCTGGCACAGGAACGAGGTGGGCAGGGGCTGAGCCTTGGCCTGGACCAGGGCCCTAGCACTCACCTGAGACAGGCCTTTCCTCGACCAGCTGCTCCTCAACGTGGAGCTGCCGCTCACCCTGCTCCCCTTCGTCATGAGCTCACTCTAGCTGACGCCAAGGAAATCCCCCAGTGGGAATTCCATTAACGTCCTGCCTCTCGACCACTGAGTCAGTTCTAGAAACGCAAGGCAGGAAGAATTTCAGGGCCACACTCCTGCAGCCTCAAGGGCCTGCTCTCCCAACAGGATGGCTAATGCCACCCATCTGTACCAACGCCCCGCACGTCTACACCAGCCTCTCATTCCTGCCTCACCACAATCCTGGACCGTCGGGATTACTGCCCCTATTCTGCAGACAAGGAGACTGACGTCACTCAGCTGGGTAGTAGAGGAACCAGGACTCAAACCCAGAAGGCTGAGCTCCAAACCCAGTGCTCCCCAAACCACTGTGCCTCACTTACAGATGGGCACGTGTGGATCACGGCTGGAGCTGACTATGCTGGACTAGACTTATGTTCACCTGTCGGTCTTCCCGTGGACAGGGACGGGGTTAGAGTCATTTTGATGTCTTTGGACCTGGCACAAAGCGGGTACGACATGAAGATATACCAGGCACTTAGAATACTACCACCTCCCCAAGGACACCTCTCCACCTTTCCTGTCCCTCCTCAACTATTATTTGTTCAGTCACCCTGCAAGATCAGCAGGTTAGACAGCATCGTATCTATTGTACAGCTGCACAGAGACCCAGAGAGGTTCAGTGATCTGTCCAGAGTCACACAGCCAGTGAGCACAAGGCTGGACCCAGGATCCAGGTATTCCGACACCCAGTGCCCGGCCTCCTCCGTGACACCATCCCTGGTGCAGGTGGGGCCTGGAGGCCCAGCCACCTCGTCCAAGGAGGATAATCTACATGGAAATGGGTCAGGCTCCCAAGACCATTTTCTCCTCCCAGTGTGTCTTCTTCCTGAAGCTTTCAAGCTCCCTTCGGTCTGAGGCAGCATGTGTGGACACATGGGAGGCGGCCTGGGGCAGAGGAAATGGGCTCTGCAGCCAGGCAGACAGGCCTCTGACCCCACACTGCCTCATCGCTCTGAGGCCTGCATGTGCCCACCCTCGGAGTCTGAGGCTCGTCTGTGGCGCAGTGGGAATCCTAGCACTGCTCCTGGCGGGTCACGGGGATGGTGACATGAGGTAAAGTGAGGACTCAGCCCGGGCTCTGCATGCAGCCTCCTGCCCCTAATGGTTATTTTCAGGGGCCAGGAAAGAAAGAGGAGCCACAACACCAGCAGATCTGAAGGCAAGGCAGGGGCAGAGGACAGAAAAGAATCCAAAATGCACACCCCGAGGCCTAGGATTCTCTCCCAATGCACCACCCAGAGCCCCACTCGGGCTATGGGTGCTGCCCAGGCTCTACCGGGGAATTGGTGAGGGGAATTGGAAAGGTCGCGGAGGCCAAGGCAGGCTGAAGCGGTTGTGGCGCCTGTGACAGAACGAGGACAGAATGAGAATCAGCAGCTCCGCCTGGGTGGGTGGGTCACCGTCTTCCCCCACCCGCCCCCCAAGCCAGGCAGTCACCTCACCCTGCCCAGGTGGGGCTCAGGAGGCCTCCTGGCCTGGAGACCTGCAACAGCCTTGTTCCTGAGCCCCTGCCTCCAATGGCCAGCCAGGCTGGGCACTGGAGAGCAAACTCAACAGACCCCACCACTGCTCCCTGTTTAAAACTCATCCCCAAAGAGAGCCTGCCAGCAGAGAGGCCTACCTCGCTCCTAGAGCCTCTGCACAGGCTGCTCCCTCTGACAAAGATGACAATGGATGCCCTTCGTTTCTTTGCCTACCACGCAAACTCTCACTCAATCGATTCAAAAGCCACCTCCTCTGTGAGGCCTTCCCAGTCTAACCTGCCCCTCATCCAGCAAAGGATCACCCTCCCCTGGGCTCCTGTGGCTCCTGGGCTGCCCCATCAAGGTACCAATACACTTTGTGGTCTCTGGCCATCTCCGAACTTCACTGTGTCCAGCTCTTCTCCTGCGTGGGGCCTGGCCATGTGAAGGGGGATACACCAGATAAATGGAACATCCTGGACAGAAAGCCTGCCTCTGCTTGGAGAGCATAACAATTGGCACAAGGCTGCAGGAGATCAGGGCTCTGCTAGGTGGAGAAATCACATTTAGGACCATAGGGGATGGTCTCTGCCTCCTATCATCAGTGCAGTCCAGCAACTGTCCACACAATGTCATACAGACCACAAACTGCTCTCATTTTATTAGCACATGTCATTCATTAACCTTTTTAACACTCACAGCAGATCAGTGAGACAGGAATTACTATCCTCATTTGAAGGATGAGGAGACTGAGAATCAGAGAGGTCAAGTTACTTGCCCAAGGCCACAGAGCTAGGAAGCAACAGAATGGGAGTAAAATCCAGGTCCTGAGGCTGGAGCACTGGGCCTCCAGAGTGGTCTCCTAGCCTCCAGCACCACCCACGAGTCAGGGGAAGGTTTCTTAGAATGACCGATCCCACCCTGACATGCTTGCTTAAACCCTCCAACAGCTGTCTGCTGCCTACAGGTTCAAGCCCTGCTCTTAGGCCTGGCATTCAAGGCCCTCATATTTGGCCCCTGCCTTCTCTCCTAGTCTCAAGCTGAATTCCAATTCCCCACCCCCAAGACCTTGCATTTAACAGTCCAAAATGATTACCATCTCAGTGCTGTTATCACAACGCACAGAGCCAGTGAGGAGCTGTTCCCTCTGTGGCAGACATTTCCTGCCTCCCAGGTATACGCATCTGGCTTCCCCTGGCTGCTGCATTCCAGCCTTCCCTTCCTGGGCCGCAGGGGCTCCAGGCCCACCTCCCTTCCTCCCTCCCTAACTTCAAAGCCACCTCCCTTCCCCGACCCCACCGCTTTCAAAGGAGCAAATTAGTGCCTGGGAATCGGTGGAGTCAGAATGGAGGGATGTCTTAAATAAACATCCAAATGTTTCCAGGTTCTGGGATCTCCACCAGTCAGCCAGAACAGGAAGGGAGGGGAGAAGCTGTCACCTCCCTTTCCAGAGGGGAAACTGAGGCCCAGAGAGGGTTAAGAAAGTGCCCACGGTTGCCTCCTTCCCAGGTGAGTAGCTTGTGCCCCTCCTTCAGCTCTGCAGCATCCGGCAAAGTTCTCAGTTAAAGACCCGGGAGGGGACAGGAGGGAAGGTGTTAGGGTTATCTTTGCCCTCAGGATCAAAAACCCAGCAGGCTCCGCCGCCTGAGCCCTCCCTCTCGGGCCAGACCTGGGCTCTGCAAGTCTAGACTTATCTGAAGGGTAAAGCAAAGGGAGGAGGGACCGCGGAAGTTCCTGAGTCACCTCCTCGCCCGGCCAAGTGTGGGCGGGCCCCGCTCTCGGCCGGCTCCTGCTGCGCTGGGTATCCCGGCTGCACGTTCTGCGCCGCGAGGGAGTTCTCGGCCCCATCTATAACAGAGGACTGCGACTCAGAGGCTGAGCAACTCGTCCAGCGCCGTGCAGAGGGCCAGTGGCCGTCCCATACGAAACTAGTGCGTGTGAGGTTCCTACTCCCCGCAGCCCAGCTTGGGGTCCTGGAGCTGGCGCCGCAGGCGGGCCCGGATCCCAAGAAGCTGTCGCCTTCTCACCTACGGGATCAGAGGGCTGGTCCCCTCACCCCGGGGCGGGATGCAAACGGAGAGCGGATCTCAAAGCGGAGCCAGGGGCTGAGGCCGGCCTCTCCGCCTAGCAGACACGTCTCTCTCGGTCACATACACTCTCTCCGAGGAGCGCGGGGCGGGCAACGCCGGCCGCCCTCTCCTCTCCTCTCCTCTCTCCAGCCCCCGGCCGGAGCCCAGGACCGGACGCCTCCCTGCGTCCCCCTAGCTGGTTCGGCTGGGGTGTCCGGCACGCTCCGCCCAGCCCGGACCAGGGCCGGTCCCCAGACGCTGCCGATCCCCCACCCACCAATCCTATGCCGTCCCCTCACGGCCCTAAGGACCCTAGGAGGTGAAGGAGAGGAGGGCTGCCAGCGCCCCCCGCCCGGGCTGCAGCGGGGAGGAGGACCGGGGCTGTTGCCCGAGGAACCGAGAGAAAAGTTTGAAGCCAAGCGGGGGGCCCGGGTGGACAGCAGGGGAACGCGGAGTTGGGGCGGTGTCTGGCTCCGCGCGCGCACACACTCCACGGACACCCAACCCAGACACGTCGACAAGCACAGATCACGTACGCGGACACAACGATGCACCCACCAACAACCAAACCAAACGCAGGCCCACAAAACGTGGACACAGGCGCGAAACAGCCACGCAAAGTCACGGACACACAAAGGCGCAAGCAGATGCACGTTCCCGGACCCAAACCCACAAAGACCCACAAACGCGAGATGCACGTGTCGGCACAAAGACCCCAGAGGCGCCGGCCCACGCCCACGGCCCCAGGCCAGAGCCTTTGTCTCCGGGAAGCCCTCTCCCCTCGGTCCGGGTTCCCCACTCCGGCCGAGCCCGGGGCGTCCGGCGCCCGCTGCCGACGCCCTGGGTCCGGGAAAAGTTGAGGGGCCACAGCCCTGCCCCTGCGTCCAGCGCCGCCCGCCCGCCCGATGGGGCGGCGAGGTTGGGGTCGGGGGCTCCGGACCTTCCCCCGCAGCGCGAGCTCCCGCTCCGCCCGGGGACCCGCACCCACCTGGAAGCCTGCGCCACAGCCGCCTCGGCACGCTCACCCGGGCGGC